CTTCCCCTCAATCTGCATCATCAGCGCAGCTTCATCACCGGCATTTTTTCTGTTTTTTCTCTCTCCACTGTGCCACCCATGACACTTCTTCCTTGCTCCTTTATTTACATTCTTTATTCTTGATGACCCTAGTCACCTCGTTTGTTTGCAGGTGCATAGACTTCGACTGATGCTTTGCCTACCGGTGCTTTGTGACTCCCGTTTTGCGATGTTTTTTCTCCAGATTTTCCCGATAGCAACCAGCAAGTCTTTACTGGACATGTCTTAGGTGTAATGTAGATGTAGTGGTTCACGGGACGAGATTGGCAGAACTTTTGCAACCTGTGTGTGCCAGCGTTGGTTCAAGCCGATTGCACATGTTCGTTTCTAGCATTCAAGCGCAACGTGCCAACAATATTTTGTACCAAAAGGGCAATGTGATGCAGCGTTGCCATGTTATCAGGCAAGGTTCTTCAGAGACACTTCATCGGTCAGGCGTCTTCCATAGAGCAACTTGCCAGGAAGACACTCGCCAAACAGGAAGGTGGAGCGCCTGCCAAAAAGCCTCGGATACCCCCGTTGACCATGCCAGCAGATCTGCAGAACCATGTTTTCCTTTTTGTGCCAGGCTGCGACGAGAAAGTTGTTTGCAGACGATGTTTCATGTGAATTTTTCCCTTCGTGGGCAGACGTTGATGGTAAGACCTTTTGCGCAGGTGCTTGATGGCGCGAGATTTGATGTGTCCGTTAATGCAGGTGTTGGCACAACCCGTTGAGTTGAGGGTTGTCCCTCAAGCAGTCAGCTGCAGCATTCATGAGATACAGCGCACCATATGTTTTGATAGACTGTTTGCCATTTTATCATGCACACATTTGAATATCCACGTTGTGAGACACTTTAGCTGTCCTCTGCCATGAAGCGACCGGCAGAAGATGGAGAAGAGCCACCCTGTAAGCTTCGCACACTGCCACCCATTGGAGAAGTGGCTGAGGAAAATCGACATGTTTTCATTTCCGTACAAGGTTACTCTGAGAAGGTTGGCAAGTTGTTTGATGGACATAGTGTTGTTTTCATCCGCGGCGGCGTGGCCACCGGCAAGACCACATTGGCAGAGCATTTGGACCGCTCTGAGAAGTATGTGAATGTGCCCTTCACTGAACATGGTGATCACGATGCTTGGAAGGTGAGAACAGTGGAAGCCGTGGAACAAGCAACAGGCAAAGTTGACCGAGATGGTTCAGGTTTCGGGAATGCGCTGAAGCAAGCCAAGGAGAAGGACTTGACCCTGATTTATGATGAAGCTCACACACTGTTCCCCTCTTCAGACCTGTGCTCAGACCTATTCAAAGCAAACATACACTATCGACCACGGGTCTTGCTGTTGTCAGCGTCAGGTGATGCTTCAAGCACATCAAGCCTCACCATGACAACACCAAGTGAAATCACCCAAAAATTCATGTGGACACCACCTCTACCCTGCACTCCAGACCTGAAGATGCAGCTGGAGCAAAGTGGCGTTACGCTGGACAGAGAGAGCATCCAGTTCTTCACCAGCTTCTGTGGTGGGCATCGAGGCATTTTCATCGCTGCGATGCACTGGGTGAAGAGCAAGCAGAACGCTGTTGAAAGTTGGGACTTCAAAAAGACCGTGGGATGTGTGCGGATCAGCTACAACGAGGGGAATTGGAACTGTGCTGACACAGAGCTTTTAGGGTTTGTGAGAATGAGCCGTGCAGTGCGTATCAATGGTAGGTTCCACGCTGTTCATGACATTCCTCGGAAGTTCGTAGAGCTGCTGTGCAAAGGGGCAACCAGCATCGCAGAAGCGGACGTTCGGAGAGAGCTTACCATCAATGGCTTTGTACTTCCCAAACTTGACAGAGGCATTGAAGCAGAGTTCCAAAAACTGGATTGGAACAACGCACATATGGAATACGAAGTGGCGAACCCTCTACTGGCTTCATATTACCGCTTCATTCTGAAGAAACAATGCGCTTTGGAAGTTGAGTTCGAAGCGAGCAATCCCCAACACTGTGCAGACTTACTGATGCGAGCATTGCCCTACCTGTTCTTCTCCAAGGTCGTGAGCTTCGAAGGAGATGTATCTCAGCTGGCGAAGGGCGGTCTTCCACATGAGCAACAGTATAACCAAGCCATCCTCAGTGTGTTGGCGGAAATCGGCTACAAGCCCTTTGCTCCGCAATCGTCGAAGCAGGCCGACGGGAAGCCAGACCTCATGGTCAAGATTAGAGAGGAAACGTTTGTCATGGAGGGTGCGAAGGGACAGATCTTAGAGCACCTTGGGCGCTTCAGGAGGCTGGAGATGTACAATAAAGCCGAGCACAAGGGTCTCTACATCATCAGCAATGATGGTGAGAAGATGCTCGAGACCTTGAACAACACCGAAGCCGGTGATGTGCAAATCATAGGCTTGGTCCCCAACATTGCCCACACCGCCTACACCGTTCACGTGAAGAGCCAGGGCATCAAAAGCATCAACACCTTCACGGTGGACTGCGACCTCGTGGCAAGGAGGTTGGTGCTCAAAAACGATGGCAAGCCTGAGCTCTACAGTGTCCAATCGCTGAAGAGCGTCAACCTGTCTCAAAAACCTCAGAGCAGACGCTGGGCGAGAAGTCTGGTAGTATTGTTTTTGTTTTGTCTGTCATTGTTCTCTGCTTCTGTGTTTCGGAAACAGGTTCTCTTGCCTTCGTTCACATGTCATGATGTGTGCTTCTTCGGACTCCTTTTCAGATTTGGGACCGTTGCTCCAGGTGCTAAGACATGTGCTAAGACATGTGATCCTGGTGTGAGCATGGAGGCTGGAGGCTTCGATGTACGGGCCTTTGGTGTTCTGTGAGG